TATTCCAGCCCTTCTGCAAACCAAGAAGGCTTGTTAGGCTGGTGGCAGCAGGGTGTGTTTCTTGTTCTCCTCAATTGTCCCTCCTTCAGGTGTTAAATGGGTGCTTCTGCCCTTACTGGACAACCAGTCCAACCCTCCAACTGAGTGTTAATACCTACATTTGCCTTTTTATGGGATCCAGAGCTCACGTAGAACTGAAATCAGAGGGATGTGCTGTCTTCCTGGGATTTCTGTCATGGAGGAACAGCCTTTTTGTCAGTCACAGAGGTCCCTGCTGCATTCCAGATTCATGAAAGATGGAAGCCAGCACAAACACGTCTGCTCTCAGATCTGTGTGTTGTTCAGCTGTGAGTGTACTGGCAAACACCATGCTGTGATACCTTGCTGCAGCCTGGCCCCTTTCCCAAAGACTCGTGTGGTTGGAGCTCACTCAGGTGCAAACACTGACAGTGCACGGACCAGCTGCTGCTGTGCGGGCATCCCGCGAGGCTCGGGGGCTGCGGCCACAGGGCCCCCTCCTCTGCCCTGCCCTGCCCAGGACACAGGGCTCTGCACTCCCACGTGGCTCCAGTGTCCCTACCCAGTCCTGATGAACCCTCAGAGAGGCCCTCATGCCTTCACCAGTGTTCTGGACCTTAGCTGAGCTTTGGAAGCAAGGTGAGGGTGAGTCTTCCTGTCTTGAGGAGAGAGGGAGAGGGGATGAGGAGAAGTGTGGAAAAATATCTGCTACAAAAGGCATTGAGACCTCACAGCTCATTTCACTTTTAGGTGATCTTGGCTTATTCCCAGAGCTGATGTCCATGCAATAGCAGAAGATATATTTGATTTGTAGCAAAATTTCCTTGTTCTGTGCACTTGGGAAGTCTCCTTTTCCTTTTCACACACACCTATCCTCTCAGGGGGTGTTTTAAGACCCTTTACATTTTCTTGTAGGCTGTTTACGTTTCACTGCCCTTCAGTGAGCCAAAAGGGGCTCAAGGAGGTGGCCACAATGTACACTTTCATGTACCAGCAAGGCTGGGACAGATCCATGTCATTTGTTTGTCAGTCCCATGTTGGCCAGTGCTGAGGAGTAAGTGATGCTTAGGAATTTTTTGCCAGGTGATGCTTGGGCCAGGCTGGATGTGTGACCACACACCCAAACCCTGTGGCACTCAGCAGAGCTCAGGGATAGGCAGCACTGGGGTGGCTGGATTCCCACCCACAGGGCTGAGTGCAGGGTGCTGGGTGCTTGCTTTGTGGCTTACCAAGTTTATTGCTCATAGCAGGCTGATCAGGACAGTTCCAAAACTTGGTAGTGCCACTGGAGCGCCAGGCAAAGTTGAATGAAGGCACAGCTCCCTCCCTGGGAGAGCAGCCATCCCTCTCTCTGGTGTCCAAGCCATCCTTTCCCTTCTGGTTTTAGCAACAGTATTCACCTTCCCCCTTTGCAGTTTAGGGGCTCCGTGATAATCGTGTAGTTGTTGACAATTGAAGAGCAGCTGAGGGTCACCAGCTGTTTCACTGCAGAGCTACAGGAGGGAAACTGAGGCATGGAGCTGAAGGTGCCTAAAGATGCCCTTGGAGCTCTGGAGTGACCCACTGAGGGATTGTCCCACTTGGACTCTGCGGTTGCCAACACAACCCATCGCTGCGAAGGAAACCGAGAGGAGTGGGAAGCAGCAATGCCTCCTGTCCTGCCCTGCCGTGCCTTTGGCTTGGCTTGCTGCCCTTCCTCTCCTCTTCCTCCCCTGGCACCCCTGGCTGGCAGCACGTGCCCCGAGTGCTGCTGGGCCGGCAGCCCGAGCCGGCTCCTTTAAGGCAGCCCGGCGGGAATTGCGCGGTGCCAGCCTCCGCCGCCAGTGCCGCTCCCGCTTCCCCCTCGGAAAGTTTCCTGCCCAATTGTTATGTGCGATCCGATCTGAAAGTTGCTCTCTAAGCTTCTTGTCACATTTTGACTTAATGAAGTGCAACTGGAGTGGGAATTGGGGTTCATCACGCCAGTCTCACTGCGCTCCCTTGTTGTCAGAAAACAGGGGCGGTTGGGGACCGTAATGCAACGCTGCAAGTCGTTATCATTCCGGTCAGTCTGTTTAACACAAAATTAAACAAAGAACTAATTAGTGCCTCATGAATTAATAAATGCGCAGTTGCCGGGTAGGAAGGGGAGGAAGGAAAAAAGGTTGTTGAAGGAAAGATACTGAAAAAGTCGAATTAGGATGTTGTGTCAAGGGGAAAAAAAAAATCTGAGTCCACTTTGGCGAAGAGTTTGGATCCATTGGTTTCCTTGGAATAAGCTCCCCTCCTCCTCCTGCGTCCTGCTTGCCTGCTCTGGAGCAGCAGTGTACAGCAGGCATGGGGAAGAGGCAGCCTTTCAGTGCTTCTGCAGGGGGGCTTATAAGAAAGACAGGGACAAACTTTTTAGCAGGGCCTGTAGTGATTGTAGTGATGGTTTTAAACTAAAAGAGGGGCAATTTAGCCTATATTTAAGGAAGAAAATGGTTACAGTGAAGGTGGTGAGGCCCTGGCACATGTTGCCCAGAGAAGCTGTGGCTGCCCCATCCCTGGAAGTGTCCAAGGCCAGATTGGATGGGGCTTGGAGCAACCTGGGATAGTGGAAGGTGTCCTGCCCATGGCAGGGGGTTGGACTACGTGACATTTAAAGGTTCCTTCCAACCCAAGCAGTTCTAGGATTTTATCATTTTCCAGTGATGATCCCTAGAAGCTGGAGTTGGTGTCCAGTAGCCAGATATAAATATTTATCCAAAGCCTATGTGGGAGCTGAGAGGTGCGGGGTGGAAGCCCTTGGTTGGAAAGGAGGGAGCCTTCAAAGCTGGTCATGGCGAGCAAGTCTCCTCTCTTTGTCTGACGGCTTTTTTCCTGGAGAATCCACGATTGACACAGTAACAGTGTGTAATCTCAGATTAACTATGTCCCAGCAGCGCTCCCCCTGCTCCTTGCCCTCTCCGGCCCCCTCCTCGTGCAGAGCCGGGCAGTGCCGGGGTGTCCGTCCGGCGTTCCCGGAACAGGGCTGGACATGGGGGCCGTGCCAGGCGCCCACCCGGCCGGGCAGCCCCGCAGGTGCCGTGCCGTGCCACGCTGCCAGCGAGCGGGCTGGGCTCTGGCACATTGTCAGGCAGGGAAGCAGAGCTGGGGGAGGGAAGAGTCCATCCTTAAGAGGACATGTCAAGTACAATTAGCGTTATCTGTCTAAATATGTACTGGGAACACAGAATACAAGAGGAGGCCTGGCTGGCTTTAATGGAGACATATGCAAGGTCATATTGCCTCATACAATCCCCCAATCTGATTTGGGGATTACACATTCTAAGTAAATTGGCGTTATTCCTCTTGCATCATTGATAAGCTGCGGCCGAAAGAAGAGGAGTAAGAAAAAAAAAAAAACAATTAAAAACTCAAACCCAAGAACTGACCGTGAGCAGGGGCGAGGGAGTGAAGGCAGGAAGGCAGAGAGAGTTACAGGCAGAGAGCTCGGGAAAGGGGGAGAGAACAAAAGGGAGGGAGAGAAAAAAGAGCGTGACAGAGTGGCAGAGAAAGCAGTGGAAAGAGCAAGGAGGAAAGGGAGAACAAAGGGAAGAAAAAGGTGGGAGAAGGGATGAGAGAGCCAGAAGGACCGAGGGTGCCAGGGTGGGAGAAGCACCTCAAGTGGGGGAGCTGTTACTCCAGCCGTGCCCTCAGCCTTGTTAGCACCAGGATTTGAGTGGGAAAGGAAGGAGCCAGGCTGGTTATGCATCTCCCTCACCCGAGGGGCTCCCTGCGCTCTGTGTCCATCCATCCATCCATCTGGGATATCTCACCAGCTCCTTCCCACTCTGGGTCCCAGCCAACACCAGGCATCTATCTTTGGCAGTGCTGGAGTGTGAGTGACGGGAGGAGCCGGGCCACACGCACGGAGCGCCAGCGCCCCGGACACAGGGGCAGCACAGCGTCCCCTGAGCCCAGTCCCTCTCACTGCTGCCCTCCCAGGGGCTAAAGAGGGTCCCTACAAGGGGCTGGCTCCTGGCACCCGCTGGTGCATCCGGAGAGGGAGCGTGTGGAAAGCTGGATTCAACCCCGGGCTGGCCGTGCGTGACCTCGGGGCAGTTTGTCACTGCACTGCCACTCCGGGCAGTTGTGGGAGCTGTTCTGGCAGGGCTGCAAAACAGAGGCTGCAGGAACAGCCCGAGCACCCTCACCACTGTGCGTGGAGCCACCCCGTGCTGGCGGCCCCTCCCGGCTCTGGGAGAGGGAGGTCCCTGGCTGGCTGTGGATCAATCCTCCCCCTCCCGCGAACTCTCCTCCTGCGCAGGATAACCCCCTCCTGAAGTCTCACGGCACGGCTTTTATGCTCTGTCACATTTTTGGAACATATGGTTTTAAATAATTCAATTTACTTTTCATGTGTTTTGCTGTGACTTTTTTTTCCCCTGTCCCTTTTCTCTTTCCTCCTCACTCTCTGGGTTCTCCAGGGTAAAAAATGCACAGATGGGTGGATAAAGGGGTTCAGTGCACTGGGACCCAGCCCTGCACCCCATCATCTTGTGCCCCTCTGGTGTGCAAGGGAGGCCTCAGCATTAGCACACGGGTGAACCTCTGTGAAAGAGGGGTCAGCAGAGGAAATGGGAAGATTGGGAAGGGAAAAATTTGACATGGAGCAGAAGGCAGCCTTGGATGTGTGGGCAGAGCGTGGTGCAGACCAGCAGGAGGTCTGTCTCTGATACCTGGAGAGCAGGATTCAGACCAGTAATAGCTGCTCTCTCTATGGGAAATTATTCCCAAGCCTCCTTGGGAGCCTCTTCCACAGAGAAGTGCCAGAGCATGGTGTGTCTGGCGGGGTGTGTGGCACTGTGGGGTACAGCCAGGAGCAAGGAAAGCATTTTGTTCCCTTGTGGAGCCTGAATATCCCAGGCTGGCCCTGCTTGCAGGAGGGTTCTCACCCAGGTGTTGTGAGTTGTCTGTGCCTTGGCTCTTGCTCCGATGTTCCCTGTGTGTTAACTGGATCCTTTCTCTTCCCCTTCCAGAATGAAGTGAATTTAGAGCTAAAAACGAGGCAAGAAACCAGGCCTTGAAATCTCCGAAAGGTAGGAGAGACTTCAGACTGCAATGGGTATGTCACTACGCCCTCCTGGGTTCTCTTTTCCTCTGCGTGTCTCTCACACTTATGGCCTGCTCACTGTGGCTGTGTCTGCACTAGAACTTCTGGGGTTGGACCAGTGTTAGTTACAGAGATGGAAACAGAAGAAGGTCTATTGCAGACATGGCCTGTGTGTGTCCTAATCCTGTCTTTGTCTTTGTACACCAATTGTTCTGGCACCTGGTTTTGTCACTGCGGGTTCTCCTCAATATCTGCTCTCCTGCCTCTATCTTTACAGATAAAAAACTGTGTGAGGGTTTTGGTGAGAGGGTACTGCTTCATCTTCATCCGTGTGGGCTGGGGGAGATGGATAAGGTCCTTTCACTGAATAGGATGCAGTCTCCATCTACTGTGAAGTTTTGCTGAGCTCAGTTCACATAATTCAGATGGTGATGTGCCTGTTCTCCTCCTCCTCTGGCACAGTTTTATCTGTTCAGACTGCAGCACCGTGGTAGTAGGATGGAAGCAGCTCTGTCTCCAGCAGAATCCTGACTTTTCTGGGTTTTCCCTTTAGCTAGACCGTCACGGTCTGTCTTATGCAAAAAAATTCCAGCTTCGTGATCTCCTAGAGCTGGATGGTCACTTAATCTTTGTCTGATAAGAGTTAGAGGCCTAAAGCCCATGGGAATGAAAGGTGATTGTGTCTCTTAAATGCCTCATTTCCATGTGCTGGGTCAGAGATTCCCTGTGCCACCTCAGATGATGCCAAGGCAGTTCCTGCTCTCTCTGGCCCTTCCTTGTGGCCCCAGGAGTACCTCAGCTCCCCGTGTCACCTGGAGAGTTCCCACCCTCTTCCCTGTGTCCCTGCTCGGTACCCCCTTCAGCACTGCCACTGCTGGCCTCTCCCATTGCTCCTCTCCCTGCCCAGGCACCTCGGCAGGCCTGAGGGCAGGAGTGGCCATGGGGAGGGTGGGCAGTGCTCTGCCCTGTGGGACATCCCCTCCGAGGTGCCGGGAGCGCTCTCTGGGATCTGGGATGTGCCTGCACTCAGAGCATCCCTGTGGCAGTGGGGACCCCTGATGCCCGGTTCCAGGGAGCTCACAGGCTGAGTCCCAGCGCCGTGCGAGGGGCCGGTGCTGGCTGGGGCGGGAGGGGGCCCCAGGCCGGGCTGGGCAGTGTCAGAGGTGACCGGTGGAAGGCCAGTGTTATGTAAATACCGCTGCTGTAACATGGCAGGGCTGAATGGCCCTGTGCGTCCATCCATCATTGCTGGGGAACAGAAGCCTCCCTGGGAGCACAGGGGGCCGGCAGCGCGGGGCAGGCAGACACAGGCAGCATGTGCCCTACTCATAAACTGTTTGTTTTCTTTTTGTCTCTCTCGTTTCGAGGCACCCCACCGAGAGCAACTCTCTGTTTTGTCCTTGCAACCTCTCCCCCAACCTTCCCCCCACCACTTTGGGCCTTCCTTTTCCTCCCTCTTTCCCCCGACCCTTAAAAAAATGGGGGGGGGGGGGGGGAAGGAGAAGGGAAAAAAAAAAAAAAGAAAGTCCCCAGTTCACATTGCGGCTTCTTTCTCTGACTTCAAAGGCTCCCCATCATTGTTTGGGATCGGCAGGCAGTGGCCCTGAAAACGTGATCACAGCCGGGCACAGTGTAGGTCACCACCGAGCGCCATGCTCCGAGCGCTGAAAGGAACAGGCAGATTCTTCCCTTTTCATGCTTCACAACCCTGGTTACAGCGCTCTGCCTCGCCCGCGTGCTCCTCGCTGCGTGGCTATTCTTGCTCTTTTCTCCTCCTTTGCCTCCCGCCCTCCCTCTCTCTCTCCCAGGTCCCTCATTTCTCCGTCCCCGTGCTCTCATCCTCCCCTCCTCTGTGCCCGGCATCACACACTTTTCACACTTTCTTATTTTCTTTCCATTACTTTTCTTCCTCACTCTCTCCTGCCTGGCACTGCTGCCACTTCTCTCTGTTACGTGAATCACTGTTTTATTTCTCCCTTTTCCCTCTCCCAAAGGCCAGTCAGGAGGTTGATTTCCTCATGCTCCCTGTTGCTGTTTGGTAGCACCCATCCTCTGACATTTGCCCATGTTTCTGTCTCCCCCTGTGATATCTCACTCGCTGTGCCCAAAACTGCAGTGGTTCTGTAATCTCTGGATCAGCCCCAGACAGATGACAGCCCTGCCCTCCCCACAAGGTGTGAGCCCACTGCTCTCATGTGCAATGGGCTTATCCCCCGAAATGTAGCACAGCCTCACATGAGGAGGCAGCACACGGAGCCTGCCAGCAGTGTCAGCTTCCAAACTTGCTCTCTGGCTTTGCTGGTTAACCTGAAGGACTTGGCAGGTGGGGTTAGTGTTGTGGGTGGGTTTGGGAAGCCAGACACTGACTTGGGAATGTCACAGGGAAACCTTTGTATCTTGTAGGTCTCACATGGAACATGACACTGATGGTAGTCCTGAGGGCAGTTAGGCAGGGATAAGGCAGAGGGAAGGAGGCCCAGTTTGAACAGGCATCCCAGAATACTTCCTAAGCAGCTCTCAACGAGGGAACATCACCTCATTGTACTGAAGCCTTGAGTGTGTTTGGCTGCACGATGAGCCAACAGCCAGACGGCAACTCCCTGCCTCAGAACATCCCCCCAGCAACACCAGGAGCTTCATCTTGCTGCAGGGGAACAGCCTGGCCTCTGTGCCCCTCCAGCACCCACCCGGGCACAGCTCCCTCCCCGCTGCCCCCAGAAGCAGAGATCTCCGTGCTTGTGCCTCTGGTGATTTGTGAGGTTGTTTTAATGCCGAGGAGCCCACCAGGACTTGTCTCTTGCTAAATAGGCATATTAAGGGACATTGCGGCAGGGGTTATAGAGTAATAATTTGTCCTAATGAGCCGGTGTCACGTTCTCCCGGGCCGAGCCGTGCACAGGCAGGAGCTGTGGTAGGAAGGGGCTGCGCTGGCTGACCTGCCAGCCCAGGTTAATGAAGTGCTGCACTGCCCGGGGTCAGAGAGCAGGAGCTCAGCCAGGCAGCAGTGGTTCAGGGGGCTGGAGGGGAAGGAGAGGGCTCTCCCCGGAGCTGAATGCCCCAGGGAGGACCTGTGCCATGCTGGACAGAGCAGCAGGATGCACGTTACGGCACTGGGATCTCCGTGCTGTGCTGGTGGGCTGAGAGCCTCAGCACCCTCATCAAACTGTCTGCAGGCAGAGGTGAACCTGCTGCAGCTGGGGCATGGCTGGGGTTTGTCCTCTGGCCCTGCAGGAGAGCCCAGGCTGATGCATGTGGAAGGAGGCTGAAAGAGTAAGAGAGAAGGACCTCACCTCTGTTACAGGTGCTCCCAAGACAGGCAGGGTTGGTCTGGCTCCCACAGAGCCAGACCAAAAAACACCAGGGGATAGGTGCAGGCATATGTGGCAGGTGGTGATGAGCAGTGCCTAGCTAGGAGGTTTACACAGAGATGCCAGAGGAAGTTCTCTCTGTCCTTCCTGTTCCCTCTTTCTCCTCCCGTTATGCTCCCCCATGGCTTGCTGAGATCCTTTGCCTTGCACAGCAACTCTGAACTCAAGCAGTTGCTTCCATTCGTTGTGGGAGGTGGGCAGGAAAGGCACAGGGAGTGTTGCCAGTCCCCCAGTGAAGAGCATCAGGGAGCAGGCTGGAGACAGGACAGCCTGGGCAGCTGTGGTTCTGCAGGAGAGGGCAGGAGGAACCAAGAACAGGGAGTCCTGGCCTACCTGCTGCCTTGGGGATCCATGGCCTGCCTCGTCTCTGTAGGTCACACAACCCCGTCCATGCCACACCAGTGCCCTGTGGTCTGCAGCACAAGCCTTGTATACCATCTTCCTCCTCTTCCTCCCACTCTTTGCTCCTTCCCCCCCTGCTTCTCTTTGCTTTTCCCTGTCTCCATCTCTCTCTCCCTTTCATCTACTCAGAAGGCTTTACTCTACTTCCTTGTCACCCTAATTGATTGCATTAACCTTTCAGCGTATTGGATTTCCCCAGCACCGTGCAGAGAGCACTGTGCAATATGCTTATAATCCGGGCTGTAATGGACAGGGAGCAGTCAACGAGCCCCTGCTCCAACAGGTTCTGCTGACAACTTCTTCTCAGAGAGGGGGAGAGGGAGCACTGGTGGGACCTGCCGGCACGGGGGTCCTGCAGCCCCTGCGCAGCCTCGGTGCTCCCCGTGAGCAGGGTTCTGGTGTTAGCTTGGGAGAATGGAATCCTTGGAAAAGGATCCAGCATGGGAAGTGGGGAGATGTTGTATTTGACCCTCTTACTGTAATTTTTCCTTGTGTCTGAGCACCTCCCTTTTCTGTCTGCTTGCCTGCAGTTTTGTTCCATCTGTTCAATGCTAAATTAATGTGCCTTACATTTAGGCACTTGTTGCTGGTGGCAGGATGAGAAGACAGCATCATGGAATCTCCCTGTTTTCACATCATGCTTTCCTCTGCCTTGTCCTTTAATTCCTGTGTATGAGGATGTGAGGGAAGCGGACACCTTTCCTGAGGTTTCAGAGAAAAGCATAGGAATTTTGTGCTGATGAGAAGATAGCACCAGGGTGCAGAGAGATGTGGAGATAGAAGCCCTGAATTATATCTCTGGCTTGGCCTTGGATAAATCCTTTCACTCCTGGGTACCTCATTTCCCCCAGGATGTCAGAGCTGTGCTTTCGGTGCAGCAGAGTCTGCAGGAGGGCTGGGGGAGACCCAGGGCTGTTATCACTGCTCGCAGGGCAAGGATGGGAACGTGGCTGCAGACAGGCAGTGAAGCTACACAGCCAAGTGTCACTGCTCACGCTGCCAGCTAGGCAGGAAATAAACCCACATGATCAGTGGCAAGAGCATGTCAGCCTGTGAAAGGCCTGGCAAACTGCTGGTGGCCAGGGCAGAGCCAAGAGATGCTTTGGCATCCTTTATTTTAGAGGACTGGGATGATGGATCTGCCATAATCTGCTGCCTGTGGTGCCCAGGCTCAGTTCAGCACAATGCTTTGAGCACTGGGATGAGTTTCACTGAAGCCAAAGTCATTTAAGCACATATTTA